CATGTCGTTCAGCCGTAACGTCCATTATCCCGTCACGAGCCATACAATCCCTCATTGAAGTCTACCTTCGGGCTGTTCCCTCTCGAGAACGTCTCCCACGTGAAAAGGAACAAGCAGACGAGATCTACGTCGCGGGGCAATCCATTCGGGTGGGTCCCTCTCCAGCCCCAAAGGATTAACGATTGGCTGCTCAATTATAACTACACAGGTACCCACACCAAGACCTCGCTCTCCTGAAATAACCGCACCCCAAGACAACGAGGCATATTATCACCCATGCCCACATTGTGCCTCTCCAAACGATTTCAACTGGTCCTGTCCAGTACCCATCATCTCACCCACCGTCAACCTGACCCTCGCCACTCTCCTCACAGCGCCTGTCTTCCCCGTCGGTCATGCGCGCTGTGGCTCTTGCGAACACATTCACGCTACACGCGCACCCACCTCTTCAAAGTGTGACTTTTGCTCGTTGAGCTTTTGCGGGCTTGTCGTACCCACGAGATGCCATGCGAAGAGGGTCCGAGAGCAAAAGCCTATCGGTATGGATAGTTTAATGGATATTCTAGGCAATCCAGAAGTCTACGAGGCGTTTGGCGTCAACGCCGTCGAGTTTGATTATTTGTTGGATCATTTAACCAGCAAAGAGATTAGTCCCCGACAGATCTACTCCGAGGTGTGTTACATGCTAGTACTACATGTCCTTGCTTATCATGTCGTAGATTGTGGAGCCACTGGCGAGTGCCTTGGATGGATGGAGACCACTTTTGGACAAGGGTCTCTTCCCTATGGTCACTGAAGCAGAACGAGCTCCACCGGCAAGATCAAACAGTAACGACAGTCCTCCACAGGAACAGTCCTCTTCTCAGTCTGCCAGTCCCGAAACTGCCGTCGAGGAACCCGCGCCTCCAGAGACCCAGCCATCATCGGATAACGATCAAGTGATGATTGACGCTGTCCCTGAAACTGCTCGAGAAACCGAACCTTCGACAGCGGCTCCGAGCAGTAGTGAGGCCGTACCAACGTCTACTACTACAGAGACGCAGAATCTCAACGATGTCCCTCCACCTGATACGAGTGTGCAAGCCGTCGCAGAGGTTACAATAGTCCGACCTCCAACCCCAATCGTTGTTCCCGAACGTGTTCCAACTCCTCCTATTCCTGAGCCAACGCTCGACTTACTACCTGTGGATGTCGAAATAGAACAACAGCCACCATCATCCACTCCTGCTGTAGTAACAGAAACCCCCGAGCTACCAGCTGTTATCCCACAAGACAGTATCCCTGTGTCAGAGAATACACGGAATGAGGAAGATGACGATGAAGGGGACGGATCGAGTTCAGACCGTTCAGCATCCCCACCACCAGTTCGCTCAGGCGACGAATCTACGCAGACGGTTGACGCAGTTGCTGTAGCTGCCGGTGCAGAGTCTACGGACGCCGCTGCAGCTGCAGCAGCCGCTTCTGCGCCACCACCGCGCAGAGGCCCGCATTTACATCGGATCTGTCGTACTTGTGCAGCAGAAGTGTTTATCTGGGGTGCAAGAGCTTGGTGGATCAAGGAGCGCGCGAAGGCTGTCGAGAGTGGCGAGTTGGCGGAGAACGTCAGGAGCCGAAAGGATTGTCCCGATCTGGGAACGTGTGAGAAAGAATATGATAATGGTGAGCTCTTCATAGATGCTTCGGTTCGATTCATGCTGACCTTGGATTCCTCAGCACATGCTAGAGAATGTATGTTTCTGCCAGTAGATGTAGCCGAAGGAATACTGACTTTTTTGTAGTTAATCATATACCACACCCTCCCCCCTCTGCGTCAACGAGTGGCAATGCAGCTGCCGATGGCCAGCTGGGCGATAATAGCGATGCAGCGGAACCCGAACAACCAGCAAGTAATGTAGCAGAGACACAGCCAGCTCCAGATGCAGTTATGGAGGCAGCACCTATAGAAACTACCAGCAATGGTAGTGACTCGTCTGCACCACCCGCAGAAAGACCTACAAGCCCCGAGCGGCCGTCTCGTGCGGGTTCAGTGAATCTGAGCGGAGATAATATGGCTGTTGATGCACCAGCTCCAATAGCTTCCACGTCTGTGGAAGGCACTACAGATGCTCAGCTGTCTTTGCTCCCTGTGAACGAGGAGGGTAGCACGGGGAACATGTCCGCTCCAGAACTAGAACTCGAGTCACCAGAAAACTCGATTCCATCCAACTCTTCTGGGATTGATGCACTTGCTGCGGATACCATCCCTGTAAACGTCGATGCTGTCGATGAAAATGGGGAGTATTCTGAGAAGGTTTTACCGACTACGGGTTCTCATGGAGATGTTCATATGGTGACCCATGAAGATGGCGAAACTTCAATTACGTCCTCCTCGGTACGGGCAGCATGAGTCTGTACATTCGACTTATTCTTTTTTTGTGAGGTGATGATAATGGTCCCTTCTGATCTCATGTAACCTAGTATGCTTCACTCATTATTCATGCTGTTTGAATCAATCCTGATTCTCATCCAATTCGTTAAGAGCACCATCTTTGAGAAGACAAGTGCATTTATTTCATCTAGCATTTCACATAAATCAGGCGGCGTATAAACGAGCACAGATATTTATGGGGCTAGAGGCCGGGAGCGGAGATGCGGCGGTCGCCACCTTCGAAAACGTCAACAAAGGCACCAGAGATTTCCGGGATCATGTCGTTTGTCAGGGTTGCTCTTCCATGTTTTTCAAATGCACGCCGAGAAATGGTTCGCGTCAGAATTGCTGCTCCGACGGATGCTAGGAGGGGTAGACGAGTGGGAGAGATAGGTTGGGAAGATTTGCTAATGGCCGGTTAGAACTCTGCTATTAATGGAGGATATGCCCACTCACTTGTACACGCCCTCTTCATATCCCTTGGACCAGGCCAGCATTGTGCCTGTGAATCCGCTGAGAAGGTCCCCTTGACCTCCACAACGCTTCAAACCTCCTTTGGTTACAACCTTTGTAAATATATATTAACGTCCAATTCCCTTTGAGCTTCGTATTCTACCCACCTCTGCCGTTTCTCGTTCGCCTCCCACCGTTGTTGAATGAGAAAAGGAAATAATATCTGTTTCACCCTTTTGCAGCACTGTTACACCACCAAGCGCGTCAGAGAGTGTGATAGAAGCTTGGGTCTTCTTGCTAGTTTTGGTAGGAACTCCCTGAATTGCATAAGTAAGGTGTCGTCCATATCGCTGGATTTACACATACCAGTGCCTCGCAAAGTCTGGCGAATTCGGCAACATTCGGCGTGATGACTGCTCTCGTGTATCCACGAATGATCTCGGGATCATCTTCGATAAGGAGAAGTGCATCCGCGTCAAAGACTAGGTAGAGTCCAAGCTCACGCGCCTGCTGAATTGCGAGACGGGCAAATGCTTGCATATGGGTTTCACGGCCCAATCCAGGACCGACGATAAGGACGTGCAAGCGCGGCATTAACGCTTCAAGCAGGGATGTGACTTCGGATAGGGACCTGTACAAAGTGTAAGGATCATTGCTACGCTCTCAAAATTACACGTACGTTTCTGAGCTGAGGATAGGATAGACCATGAGGTCTGGTGCGTAGCTCTTGATTGCGGGTGCCGCTGCGGGAGAACAGATAATATGCGCCAGATCTGCACCCTGCAATAACAGTTAGAAGGTTAATGTAATCGAAATTAAAAGACTTGCAGCTCTGAGAGCAGCCATTCCTGCAAAGTATGGTGCGCCTGTATAACTATAAAGTGTCGGTACGATATTCCCATGCAAGTAAAGGATCTTTACTCACTCGCGACTCCCTCCGAGAATACCCACTCTGCCTATTCGGATTGGATCGACCAATATCAGATACTGTATTGCAAACAATGGGCCACAACATACCCGCTTGACCCTTGTGTAGACCCGCATTCAGCGGTGGAATGATTTCCTTAACTTGAGTTAAGATAGACTTTGACATTGGGGCCAAATGTGAGCTATCGGAGATGTGGAGGTGGCGGGCGTTTGCGAAGTGGTTAGGCGTAAGTTGTTCGAGCCTATGACGCCGTCGGGTGCCCCGTATTAGGAGACCGCCATACCGCCGTTCGGTATGCGATATAATTGACGAAGAATAATTCCTTATAAATCTGTTTACTATGTGCGTGCTCTTCGGGGGATATGCCACCATTTGAAAGAGGGTGGGCATCGTAAAAAAGGATACATTACACTTGTGTGCACGAATCATTATATGAAGATGTCGAGTGGTTCATGCACACGCTTTTGCAGGCGGCTATTGTTCGAAATCCGGATAAATGACTTCCAAGTGGTGAAGTGAAACTAGAGGGTGTGGAAGTTCAAGTCGAAGTAAGTCGCGGGCATTTCCAACTTTTCCGGACTGAAGCTAGAATCGCATTATAAGGTGCGGAAAGCCGTCTGGTATCTATGTTGATCGCCGGCCTGGCGAGATCATAGTATATGACCTGTAAAGACCACTAGGAATGATGAATATGTCCCAGTTGCTCTAGGTAAGGAACCACCAACAAGCAAAAGTAAACTGGGAAGCTAGCTTTTATACCTTTTGCAGTCAGCACTTACCATACTCTGGGCCCAAGAGCGTCGAGAGCCATCAAGGTTTGTAATATAGCCATGAATGAGCCCAACGTGATAGTAGGGTTACATAAAGACGGTCGCCAGAGGACAATGATTCAATCCTGCAAGAGATATGCCGATAGTCCCGTGTACATATTTTGCATTGCTGACCTTGTTCCCGTTCAGAGCTTTTTATTGTCTCGTTGCGGATGCATAGGGTGCATCTAGAAAGCGTGAAGAAGTTTATAGATAAGGACAGGGTTACCTGATTGAAAGAATGCATGCTGAGAGTCTGAGGGATTATCGTCGAGTTTCCTATCGTGTTGGTCCTGCTCTATTACCAGACATGGAACGTATATCTCTGGCTGGTTTTAGAGGGCGCCAATTAGACAGCTTTACAAATTAGTATATATAAACAGTTATTAAAGCTTTTGCTGACGGCCGTTTAGCTCAGCTGGTTAGAGCGCCGAGCTAATATTGTAACTCGGAGGTCTTGGGTTCGATCCCCACAATGGCCATTCAAGCATTCTTTTTGCTTCGTTTTCTGGTTTGGTAAATACCAAAGACTCGAAAAGATTGGGCTTTTCTTTGTTTTGGGGCTTCTGACACTGTATAGTGACACACAGTCATTGTAATATACTAGGTGTTTGCACAATTCCATCTCCAATCTATCTAGACTGGATATCTTTTTGATGAAATTTTATTTCACTTGATCTGTGTACTGTTCCTGTCAGCGCTAAGAGGCTACCAGCCGAATTCCTGGGCTTAATCTAGGAGTAGATCCCTCCAGAGCATCTTTTATATAGATATAGATATAGAGTGATTGCTTTCTGGTGTACTTGAAAGGCTGCTGGATACCGCCTGCCTTCTGTTCCAAATCCTATACTCCGTAGATGGCACGCAGGGCGATTTCGTCGAGAAATCGGCACTTAAATAGAATCTCATAGAGCTTATAGTCGTAAAATATGTAGGTAAACCGACTAAAGAACCCTTAGCTTTGCATCCATGGCTTCCATGGTAATCAGGATACCGAACTGAGGTATGAACACGTGGATTTTATTCCCAAACTAAGACGAGACACTACTGGGAAGCCATAAGGACCTGAAAAATATTTAGTTACACAAGTAGCTTCATTCCAGACATTATACGAACCGCGGATGGAACCAAATTGAGCTCTTTGAGCGTCTGCCCCCATTCTGCTTTGGTGAAAACTTTCCTATACCATGGTTGAATATAAAGTCTTCGATGAACCGGCAGGGTGCGTACCGTGGAAATGTCGTGGCAAATGTGACCGTGTCGACGTCGTACGCCAGACTTTGCGATGCAACATATTCGGCAACGTTTCGCAGCGCTGAACGAGTATTGAGACGTAAAATGTGAGCACCTACATGCCCACTTACTATCTGTAGCTGGTAAGGTCACTGTAAGAGGAGCACCACCGGCTGCCAAGCGAATCTAAGATTGTCACAACGTGAAGAATCAGAGATGAAGATTGTAGGATAAAGTAGGTACCTGTAGTCTTGCTTCATTGTATTCCTTCTTAACTGCAGGTGCTGCGGGGGCAGGGGCAGTCGACGTGGATGCCTCAGATGGCACTGCTCGACCTTCCCTCAAAGCTTTTTCCTTTGCAGCCTTTTCTGCTCGGGCCTTTTTATCGGCTTCAATTTGCGCTTTCACCGCCTCTCTGGCTTTGGCTTCCTCCACCTTTTCTGTAATTACGTTGACGGTAAGATTCTGAGACGTTTGTGTGATAGTGTTTACCTCTCTTCTTTTGTTCAGCCTCTTTTAATGCTTCCTTCAATTGCAGATCTTCTTTGATTCTCCCGGCATCCTGAAAAGAGGCGAGGTGTCAGGAAGAATAATGAGTGATACGATAGAAAACACCTTTCCGGCCTTCCTCCGTAGTGCTTCGTTGGCCTTTTGCTCTTCCGCGTCTATTACACTCTTTTTGGCCCTCTTCTCCGCCATTTTCTCTCGTAGTTCTGCTAGCTTCTGCTTCTTCTCCTCTTCTGTAAGAGGTTTAATCTTGAGTTTAGGTTAGTAAAGCACGAAACGCTATGGAGTGACGACCGACCTCCTCAACGCTCTCCTCGAATTGATCGTGTCCAGACTTCTCGGCACTAGTTGATCGATTTATCAGTAATACGAACGTATTTAAATCGTGATGCCTACTGAAACTCTGCCATAGCGGTATTGCGAAACACTTTGCCACACTCTGAACATTTGATGGACTACGGGCGCAGGCTACTGCATCAGATTGCCATCTCCTCCATTTATACGGCAAATAAGTACCTTGGCCTCTTGTTCTGAGCTACCACCTTGAGACATGCTGATAGCAAGCTTCATGTCCTCATCTTCGTCATCATCGCCTTCACCACCAGCAGCTTTTGAGGCATTACTGGACGAGCCTCCATCGGCAGGAATGGGTTTATCTTGGTTTGCGAGAATATGGTCCATTGCGGGTTGCAAACCTGCCCCTCTCGTTGCCTTAAGCGCCCCTGCGTAGATAGTACTTCGCGTTAGTAAGTGGAGCGCAGAGCAGAAATAGAGCTACATACAGTCTATTCGTGCCTCTTCAAAGCCGAAATCCAGGAGCATTTGACGATCGGTCGACATTGCGCGTGTTCACACTGGTGATGGTTGGGATCAAGGCGTCTATAGTAGCTGGCAGGTCAGGCTGATTGTTTTGTTTTGCTGGCAGGAGCAAGACACTGAAGTATAAAAGATGTTCCATTATGAGTTACACGTGTATCTAAATGCACGAATGACATTATTATAGAAATAAAGATGGGCATCCTCAGGAAGACTTCATCTCTGGTCCCATGAGGGTGGGCACTGCTGTACTAGATGAGCGGAGTTTTGAAAGTATATCAGTCGTTACTTTATCACTCGGTAGATTTGCACTGAGACAATCGTGTCAGTTCATCTACTGCGAAGGACAAATGCACCCACCACATTCTTTCCGCCACTTCTCGCAGCAACTCGCCACAAGGAACTTCCAGTTTTGTGACAGTTCCCCCCTTTGAGTCCGAAGGAACGGTGTCGGCACGTGTAGGTCCGATATTGAGGATGACTACTGGCTTGTGATTATTATGCGCAAGTTGGAAGAGCCTAAGTTTGGCAGATACATCAGAATACGGAACCCAAGTATCACTCCATTATATCCTCACCGATAAGCAGAATATGTCGCAAGAGTTGTACCGACGACAAGCAGTCTTTCGGAGGAGGCTACTTCAGCTAGCCTAAAGGCCATATGAGAGAAGTCGCGCAGAATATAGCCAAGTTACATACGAACGATTCTTCTTCTCCTCCGGAACGGATTCTCCAAAGAAGACGACATCCGGCTTTAACTAATATGGGTTTCATCGTCAGTCATGCTCGAAACGTTGTAAGGAATGGTCGCACCGTCCTGTCTTCCCGACCTTCTACTCGACAGGTTGGGCAAGCGGGGACAATGAAATCGTCGTAAGAGCGGCCTTCCAGTTCAATCTACAACCAGATGGGTTCAAATACCGCATTAATAAAACAACTATATCACTCACATCACCATCCGGATTTGTTCTCAACTGCTGGCCACTAGCCTCTAGCTCATCGACAAATGCCTTCCAGCCGGGGTTTTCTCTGCCTAGCATCTCTTGAAACTCGTTCCTATCGATTTCGTGTCCGTGACTACACCGCACGACGAATAGGGTACCGTGAAGCTCGACAACCGCCTTTTTTGGCGCCCCAGCCCGCAAATGTAGACCATCAACGTTTTGGGTAATGATCGTCCCAATCTTGCCGTGACGTTGGAGCAACGAGAGGCCATAATGGCTGGCATTCGGTTTGGCATCTCGAACTGCACGTAATTGAATAATTAGTATAAATATTTATTGCAATGCATCCTTGGTCATGATGACGATGGGACGTCTCGATGTATGACTGTGGATCGGGACTAACCTGGTGGATATCCGAGATAGGATCTGGCCCTGCCCAGATTAACAATCAAGGAATAAAAATATTGATTTATAAAGCATACCAGTATCTTTGGCTGAAGCAAAATCACGTTTAGTGTAGCAGAGACACGGTTATATAATCCACACACCGAAACTTTTTCCCTATTGACGACGGGGCGACAAGCTCTTGATACTAAAAGTAGTTTCAATCACATTTTCTTGCATGAATACACGGTTTAACTGACCAGAATTGGCCTAAAATTTTGCAAATGGCAAATATGCCGTTTAGTAAGGTCGGCGAGCATACAGAGAAGATGCTGACTGGTAGTTTGGATTCATGTATCTTCCATCCTTTCCTCGATATGCACGTATTCCGCTGTCAACACTAACCCCAGCACCAGTTAACACGGTAACCGGACCTGCAGACAGGAATTGCTGAAGAACAGAGATAGCTTCGGGGAGAGATACGGGAGTTGATGCCAGTATAGGCATAATGGGAAGAGACGGGATGGATATTCTGACCATTGCGAATGGTCAGGTCCAAAACTGAATAGTGCCGATCCTGAACCTCAACCATCAATATTGACTTCAAATGATTTAACGAAGAAAAATACAGAAAATATCGTGATTATTTTGGTCTGAATGTACTGTATTCGTCATAATCTGCGGGTGACAATCGCTGGCAAATGTCTGGTTTTCTGGACAAATTGCGACGCCGCGCGCTAGATGTGTCGTCGAAACCTTCAGTCCACTAGCCGCATTGCTTCAAGTCGTTCGAAAGCCCAAAATTCTGGAAGACTGCGAATAAATAGGCCGAAGATCGAGACTCCTAACCACCTAAGATCTGATCACATACAGCCGATTGTTATTTGTTTCTACAACATAACGACATTTTCCCCCGACATACTCGGTATTATTTAGCTATCAGTACCACCCGGACAAAGCCTCCGTCAAAGCCATGGCTGGTGACAACTGCGCTTGGACCCTGCCACCTCTCGTCTCGCCGTCATGTCAAACCCCAAGCCGGAAATCTATATAGTAAACTGCTTCGTTTTGGATGAAGAATGTTCTTTTTCAGTCGAGATTGCGAGCGACGAGTTCGTCGACATTTTGAAAGACGAGATCAAGGCAAAGATACCAAACAGATTCCCCAACATCCCAGCTTGTTTTATGAAGCTGTACCTCTTCAACATTTCAGACGGTTACGACCTGGTGGCAAGAGTTGGGGAACAAAAGCCAGACAATGCACTCAAAGCGTGGTGGACAATGGCCGAAGTCTTTGGTGGGACTCCAAAGCCAAATGCAATCCACATTCTAGCTAAACCTCGTAAGTTTAAATTCCCTCGGACTAACATTCGAATATCCACCCACACCACCCCACTGACTACTTATCCATTTAGCACGCCTAGAACGAAAACGCGACGATTTAGGACCTGCTTCGACAGACTGGTCGAGTGTGAAAGAATGGGGTCCACTTTCTAGCCTCGATTTGGTAAAGATTGATGGTGAGCCTATCTGTTCATTCTAATAGGAACTAACCCATTTTCACTAACAGACACCATCGCCCGACGAACGTCAACAGT